ATGTTAGCATCAGTGTATTAAATGATGAGAGAACCAACAAAACATCCTCATCACGTGTCTGTTCTGCTCAAACACCTTGGAGTCTTTTATTTCTAAAATAACCATCATTTCGAAGGTATTTTGTGTACCTGCTGTATTGATATATCCCTTTAAAAACCTTTTGATTCCTACTTTTATTCAACAGAAACACGTAAATTTTTTTTTCCTCTTAAAGACAGTAAAAAAAGGACAAACAGGAACTGAAAATACTGATAAAGTTAATCACTTGAAAATATCAAAAAGAAGGTAGGAAGAAATGAAATAAAATGAGAATCTGGAAAATGTGTTCATGATAGTAACAAAATATACATATTTTCAAGTATATTGAATGAATTTCTATTATATGTGACATAGCCATTCATCTATCATGCAGCCAGCCAGCCAGTAAGCCACCCATTCAGCCACTCAGTCATATCATTATATTAAATTAATGAGCTCTCAGGCCTTGGAAAAATACTTACCTGGGCAGTTATTTGATTAAAAAATAAACCAAACCAAACAAACAAAAACAACAATAAACAGTCTGTGTTGAAGACAATGACTTTTGTTACAACAGTAGAATTTAGAAATTGCATCTACTTTGGTATTGAAAGCAATATAACCATTTTTTTCAATATTTTCTCTATATTTGCACTCACTTAGGCATTTCAAAAAGCTGAGGATGTTAATTTGAAGAAAACAGGAATATCTCTTGGAAACAGATTCTATCATTCACAAAGTTGCAAGCAAATCAAAGGAAGTTTAAATCAATGTAATTTTGGATTAGTCTTTTCTTCATCTGTGTTGAAGCAAACTAGTGTATAATTCAGCTTGTTAGGAGTCATCTCTAGATCCTAAGAGTATATATATCCTATTTAACAATGAATGGATAGTTTCTTTTAGAGAAAGAGTTTTTTTTAAAAAAAATAATTAGATCTGCTTATATTTGGAATCAGAGAACAAATATTGATGTATAAAAATGCAAAATATTTAAATAAAAAAGAAATAGTGAAGAAATTGCTATTGCATAATAAGGAGCAAGAATAAAAGGAGGTATTGTACCCAATTACACATTTAACGCAATGAATAAATTTGTTAATTTAATCATCTGTTTGATTTTGTGTCTATTTTTATGTACTTTGTATCTAATAAAATTTCTTCAAAAATCTTTAAAGATGTATATATATGTATGTATGTATGTATATACATACATACATATATATACATAAAAATTTATATGCAACTACCTGGGCATGTAAATATATAAATATTTACAGAAAATTCAAATGAATATGTAAGTTAATGCCTTTGTTTATATACATATATACACATACATGATATATTAGATAAGGTGAAAAATTATTCTCTTAAAAATAAGAGAAATACATAGGGGAAGTTAATTCTCACTGTGCTGTAAATCAAGAAGTTATGTGATTTTTTTCATCAACAATTTGAGAGAAGTCAATCATTGCATGTCAATATCATTTGAACTAGAGAAATTATTAGAAACCAAATAAAGTAATAGATTAATATGTACCATGAATAAAGAAGTTAAATTTTTAGCACCGAAGCAAACCAAATCATTCACCGATGATTCACAAATGAACTAAGCAGTTTTCTAAAGCAGAAGTAAAAGATACGTCAATAAATATTTTAAAGAAAGTTGCCTGTTATCTTTACACACTAGACTATTAAGAATGAAACCTTCTCTGAGATTCCACCTCACCTCAGGAACAGTAACTATCACCAAGAAAATAATTAACAAATGGTCATGGGTCCAGGAGAAAGAGGGAACATTAATCAATGCTAGTGGCAATGAAAACAGTCATAGGTACTGTGGAAATTAACAGAAGGTTTCCTCAAAGAAACCAAAAATAGAATTCCCAAGTGATCCAACCACACTATAGCAAAATAAATCAAAGTCAACTAGCCACAGAGAAGTGTGCATTCCTTTATTTCTATATTATTCACACTAGACAAATGATGCTCAATCCTAGATGGCCTTCCTCACATATTTAAGTAATAATGCTTATTTTACATAATTGAATTCATTTGATGTATCAAATAGTGAGCTACCATTGAATTTCTGGATGAAATCTGCTTCACTGTGGGAGGTGTTCCTGACTTCACTTTCTAAGTGTTTACATGTTTTTACATCTATGTTGAAAAGGAAACTGGTCAGTGATTATCTCTCTTACGTGTTTTGGCTATCTGGCTAACTATGGCTAACCTTGTTCAGGGTTCTTTCTCTGTTTTGTGGAGTATTCTGTGCAGCATTGAAATTAGAATTTCTTTGAAATTCTAGTAGAATTCTATGGTAAAACTCTTTCCTCTTTTTTTTGCTTATATATTTATCTATGTATTTAATTTTATACTTTCCGATTCAATGTAGTATATTCTTATGATTCTTTGCATTTCCTTATTATTTGCTGTTTTGTCCCCCTTTCCATTTCTGAATTTGTTATTTTCATATTCCTTGTCTACTTTTATTTGGTATGGGTATGTATTTCTCTAGCTTTTTGGTTTTTCTCAAAGAATCAATTCTTGATTTTATTGTTTCCTGTATTGTTTTCTTTGTTTCTATTTTATGTTTTTTTTAGCACTCAGCTTGATTATTTCCTGTTGTCTATTCTTCCTAGTTGTGAACACTTCTTTAGGTTCTAGAGATATCATATGTGCTGTTAATTTGTTCATTTGAGATATCTTAAATTTTTAATGAGATCATGTGTAAACATTCCTCTTAGCCCCTCATTTCTTCTGTTTGTTTAGTTAGTTAGTTAGTTAGTTAGTTAGTTTTTTGGGACAGAGTTTCTCTGTATAGCTTTGGTACCTGTCCTGGAACTAACTCTTATAGATCAGGCTGGTCTCAAACTCACAGAGATCCTCCTGCCTCTTGCTTTTCAATGTTGGAATTAAAGACATGCACCACCACTGCCTGGTCTTAACCCTGCTTTGTTGTGTTATATAGATTCAGGTATGCTGAGTATTATTTAGTTCTGTCCTTACCCAGATTATAGTTAGTAACGCATAGTTATGTTTTTACGAGTGTATTAGCTTTCTGTTGTTTGTGTTGTTGTTGATATCCAGGTTCAGTCACTGGCATCTAAGAGGATGCATGGAATAGTTCAAATTTCTGAAGAATGGATAAGGATAGTGTTTTCTAATTCCATCCCTTTGCATGCAGAATTCAAGATGTCATTGTTTTTTACTGTTGAGTAGTATTCCAATGTGTCAACATGCCACAATTTCTTTATCCATTCTTTGGTAGAGGGTCATCTAGGTTGTTTCCCAGTTCTAGCTATTACAAATAATGCTGCTATGAACATAGTTGAACAAATGCTTTTGCTGTATGATTGAGCATATTTTGGGTATATGCCCAAGAGGGGTATTGCTAGATCCTGATGTAGGTGGATTCCCAATTTTCTGAGAAACTGCCACACTGATTTCCAAAGTAGATGTATAAGTTTGTATTCCCATCAGCAACGAAGGAGTGTTCCACTTATTCCCCATCCTCTTCAGCATTAGCTATCATTGGTGGTTTTTTTTTTGCTCTTAGCCATTCTGACAGGTGTAAGATGGTATCTCACAACTGTTTTGATTTACATTTCTCTGATGGCTAAGGATGCTGAACATTTCTTGCCACACTGATTTCTGCAGGAGCTGTATATGTTTTCACACCTATGAGCATCTGATGATTGTTTCTTTAGTCCACATCGCCACCAGCATAAACCATCATTTATTTTATTGATGTCAGTCATTCTGAGAGGTGCAAAACAAAATCACAAATTAATTTTGCTTAGTATTTTACTAATGGTTAAGATTTCTTTAAGTGTTTCTTATTCTTTTTTTTTTTTTTGAGTCAAATTCGAAGTGAGCTTAATTGAATACTGGCCAGGACGATGGACAGCGGCCAGGTCCATACCTGGGATTCCCAGAGTATGATACTGAACATTAGACAGGGGCATAGAAAGGCACAACCCACAAGGCTATATACTTCCCACCTTCGTCCAATCAGGGGCAAGCATACATCCTGACTACATACATACTTCCTGCCTACGTACCTCTTATCTATGTGTGATTAAACACATCCTGGGCAGTAGGAGAAACCAAGCTTGTTTACAGAAGCAAAAAAAAAAAAAAAAAGTGTGGCTTGTTCTCTTCCATGAACAACACCCCCGGCATTCCAGGAAGTTACATCCTTGGGCAAGTGGGGCTTACAGGTTAGAGGCATTTTTGTTTTATAGGCCTCTTAAGCACAGTAATTTAAACTTAAAACATAATTTTAGCTATCAGAAGGCCAGCCAGGGAGACACAGTGAGACCCTGTCTCAAAAACACAAAAACAAAACAAAACGAACAAAAAGTAGGTGGTGGGCCAGACTTAGGCGGGAGGCCATAGTTTATTTCCATGTGTGATTAATAAAGACACAGAGAAGTGTGTAAAAAAGTGATATTTCTTTAATTTAATGTTGTGACCTGGAAAGATCAAGTTAGCTTACGTAATCTAGGCTTCCTCTTTACACACAAATGGGACAGATACAAGATTGGCTCAGATTTCCAACCCCAAAGAAGAGCCAAACTGGGTCACAAATCTTTAGGAAGTCCCTTGGAGAAGGGGACAGCGTGTAGCCACCTCCTGTCCCCAGGGGATCTCTTCCTGGGACCACAAGCATGTGTGCGCATGCCTGGAAGGGCGGCGTGGCTAAGACCTGGAGCTCTGCTGTAGCAACTGGTCATGAGCGGCCCACTTAGGGCCGCAAAATGGCAATGGGATGGTGATGTGGGGAGAATGAGGGCTCAGCACTCAACAGCAAACCTGCCTGGCTGAGGTTTTTGGAAATGCTTCAGATAGAAGATGGAAAGACAGACAAGTCCTTCAGTCCTCTGAGACTATGTCCTGCTTGAGCACAGAATTAAAAGCACCCCACTTTCTGCCTTCCCCTCCCCTCCCACCTCTTACAGTCAAGGACAGTCCTTGATTGGATTCAATCAGCCAGTCGGGGGCATTGACAATGCACCAGGCACTGAGTAACAGAGCAGGGGCAGGGAGTACTGCTGAGCAGGGCTCTAATGTGCACTGTGTTTCAGATGTGTCGTCCAGCAGAGAGGAAACAGGGCGGCCACAGAGGCTGGAGCCCACCCAGAAGGGGTTCAGCTATAGAATAAATACGACTGGCTAGAAGTGAGCTCTCTAAAATCACTATTACTAAAATAAAGTCAAAACTAGCGGTTCACCTCAAGTGCACTGCAGCAGGAAACAGGAGTCCACGGGGTTTGCCTTCTAACTGACAGCACCTGAAGCCCACCTGGGTCAAAGCCCGGGGTGGGGCAAACTATATAACAGCTACCCAGAGGTGTCATGGAAGACAAGATAGTGGCCAACCCTTCCCCCACCACATACAGCATTCCTGAACCAGACTGGCTGCATGCATCTCGGTGCATTTCCAAGAGCTGGGCTGTGCCAGGATGGTGGCAGCCCACAGGAGTAAGGAGCGTCCCCTGAGAATGGAGGCACGGTGGGAGGAAGAAAGGGCCGGGGTTTCCCAGTGGCGCTGGGAGACATTCTTCTGTGGGTGTTATTGCATTTCTACCAGCGCCACTGGCAGGATGGCACTAGAAAAGGGGGCGTACGTGAGGTGGGTCAGCCCATTGAAGATCCTGTGCTGTGACAGGCCCCAGTGAGAACCAGTCTGTCTTTAAAGTTGTCCTGGATGGAGTCTGGGCGATGTCTCGAGCCTTAGACCATGACAACATACGGCACATCGCCAGCACACACAATCCCAGCTAAACCTCCCAGATTTCAACAAGGCAGCTCCACTGGGTGCCGGGAGCCCAGCAATTTCCTTTTCCCAGTTCCCTTCATTTCTCAGACTAATAAGCCCCAAATATCTATCCAAGAGGGAGCTAGCCACATGGTCCACTCGAAGCCACTAACAGAAACCACTTACAATCACGGCAGAGCGCTGGCTTGACCTCTGCCTTCACTGGAGGATGCTGTCCGGCTGCCCATTCTGGGCCACCTGTCCAGGGTCAGGGGCCGGGGCTGGGGTGGGTGTGTTACTCTTTAGGTAGCATCGGAAATCTTTAATCATGGGCCGGAGAACCTGGATGAGGACACTCAGGGCCGCCTGGGTGCCCTCCATGGCCTGGGCCTGCCGCTCCTGGGCGCAGGCCTGCACCTCCTGGGACGCCGGATCATCTGCAGCAGGTCATTCTGCTGCTCCAGGTGCTGGGCGATCTCCTTTATGTGGAGGTTGGTGACCCGCTGCTCCTGGATGAGCTTGGCCAAACTGAGGGCGTTGCGGCTCTTAAGTGCCTGCGGCTTAACAGATGCCTCTGCATGCTGAGTTATCATCTCCACCGGGGCCTCGGTCGGCAGGGGCTGAGGAGGCTCGGCTGTGCAGTACTCCACCAGTCCCTCCTCCTGGGTGTGGAAGGTGGCCTCAGTGGGGATCTGTGTCAGGGTGACCGTGGCTGCAGCTGCCGTGGCCGTGGGTCCGAGGGCCACGGGATGGATCTCTGTGGTACTGGGCAGGCTGCTGATGGCCTCACCCAGCAAGTTGCAGATGCGCTGTTGCATAGGGGTCAGCAGTACTGGAGCTATGGCTGTGCCTCTGCCACCACTGCCACCGCCTGTCCCACTTCCACCAGCTCCATCGTCTTCTGTGGGCCCTGGGGCCTCGCCACCTTCTACAGCAGCTCGGACTTGGGCCACTTTGCGGCGGACTTCGGTCTTGAGGTCGGACCACTTCTACTTGACTTCGGGCCGCTCCCTACGGCAGGTGGCCACAGCGTTGACTCTTCTCAGGATGCCATGCCAGGCTGCACTCTTGGCAGCCAGAGGGACCCCAGCATTGAAGTGGTTCACCAGCAGGTGCTTCTTCAGCTCTAGTTCTTCCACGATGATCTCCACCTCCCGCTCTGAAAAGTTCATCTTCCTCTTCCTGGCTGGAACAGCCATGGCCTCTCCTAGCCTCACTTCTTAAAGAAATTATAATGCCCTTAACAACCCCAATTTCCCTTCTCTTCTTTTCCATCCTCGCCTCTCGCCCACCCCCCACCCCCAAAAAGGGGGACAGGCAGGTGTGTTTCTTATTCTTATTATTTACGCTAGAGAGAAGAAGTAAAAGACTTAAATTTAACTTCTGACGTTAGTACAGCCTTAATTTTTTTTACCTTTGTCATATATGACATCCTTTAAAAAGGGCATATTATTATTGCTTTTCATGCATTAAAATGAATAGTCGTACTCAGAAGATTTGTGACTACTTCTGAGTTTTTAAAAGATAAATAATATTTATCTTGATAAAACGATGTAAATTCCATATTATTTAGAGATGAGACAACAAAATTTAGATCACGTAAATCAGGAAAGTTTGCCACTCTAACTGCTTATAAAAAAAGAGCTCGCATCTTAATAATGCTCTTTCATAAGAATTTATTTATTGTGGAAGCAAATAGATCGTAAAGATCAGCATGGTAATGATGTTGAACACTGGATGAATCAACTGTGCTGGAAAACAGGAAAATGGTGATGTTTAAATTCTCATTCTTTTGGTCTGAGAATACAATGATAAGAAAACAGAAGACTTGTGTATCTCACTATGATGCTTGCAATAGATTTCTTCTCTGGACACAAATAAGACACAGAAAATTTATTAATTTTAATGCCACATGGCTACATACAGACATTTCCATTTTATAGGCATTCTTGACAGTGAACAACAGAAACAACCTTTGTGATTTTGTTGTATGAGAATGAAAAACTCAATTCTTTGTGTCTGTGAAACAAGTTCAAACAGTTTAACCTTTTCTGTTTTGATTGTTAACAAAGAATTGTGTATCTTACAATAATGATCGCAGGTGCAAATGTGCCTACAACACTTGCAAATGCATGTAGCAAAGTTGTCTATCAAAATACTCTGCCTTGATTGACGGTACTTCACCATCTTGCATTAGTCTACACTAAATAATGGTGATGGAGAGAATGATCAGCAGTTAAGAACACCAGCTGTACTTTCACAGAACTGAGCTTCAGTTCCAAACACCAACATGGCCTCTGAACAAGTAAATATTTCCTGCACATACGTACATGCAGAGAAACATTTATAAGCATAAAGCGAAGCTATTATTAAAACAAACCAAACCAGCCAACTAACGAAATCAAAATTTAAAAAATATTCTAGCTCATGATTCAATACACAAGTCTCCTGAACTACAGTCATTTCAAAAAGAAAATTCACCTTACTTACTTGTTTATATTTTTCTTTAAACAAAAATAAGGGAGTGATGAGTATCATTGACGTAAATGTTAGTTCTTTGAAAACATTAGCAAAGTTGATAAATAATCATACTGTCCAAAGAGAGCAAAGTATAAAAAAAACCCTAAACTTTAAAATTAGGTTTAAAAAGTGAGAAAAGTTATGACCAAATAATCAGAAAGGTATTGCAATATTTTGATTCATGTATCTTTTTGTAATAATTAGGTCAACATAATCAGTACATTCAGAATCTTAAAAGCCTGAAGGAGAACATATTACATTATTGATAAATGAAGTCAGCCTACTGTGCAATAGATGATAAGATTTAAATAATATGAAAACAGGATTGAGTTAATAATATGAAGAGGCAAATGCAAATTACAGACTATAATTGAAGAACGGGAGCTATTGATGATACACAATGGAATAGATAAAGTATTAGCAGAAAAAGAGGCAGAAGATGCATAAAAGTAAATAAGGTTGAAGTACCATAAACACACATGAGAAGACAGTGAAATCTATATTTGCATTGCCTATATACCCCAATGAAACAGATACTGTAGATTTAAAAATGAATCCCTTAAAGTTACAAAGAATTGCTTAGGATTTAAGAACTTAAAATATGGATGGACACATAACACATAAAAGAAATTGAAATTACAATGACTAAGCAATGTATGAAAAACAAACAACAGTGATTGCTTTACTGGAGAATTCTGAGTTTATTTAAGGAACTATACCAATAAAAAAAAAAATCTGACATTTTCAGGTGTACAAGTAAATAACATTTTCCCGAGTAACAACACTGCCATCATCTCACTCCAAAACCTTGTCCCAAACCTGCACCCATTTCCCCAGTTTTTCTCCTCCAGTCTTAACAACACCAATCTACTTCCCTGTCTGACTTGCTTGTAGTCTTGACTTCTCATAAAAATAAATGCTTATGATATCTAAAAAAAAAAAAAGAGAATGGGGATAAGACTTGTCTCATTCTATCATGTCATTGTGTAAAATTCTCACATTTATGATGTTTTGAGTTTTAGCTTCATAAAAGTAGGAAAGTCACAATAACTTTGTAGAAAGTATATTCTAATATTTGCAAGAGCAACATTCATGGCTATGATAATGCAGGTTATAGGGAGTGTAATCATAGATCTCACTGATTTCAGAAATATTTTAAAAACTCATGTTAATAATACTAACAAAATTGACTTAGAAACATATATCACATGATATAAAAATTAATTTATGAATCATTAATCAATAGAAAAATATAAAATATTAAGATAAATAGATATGTAAATTGCAAGAAATGTGCAGAATAGCTATAGCCAAAAAAAATAAATATTACAGAGAATGCAAACAATTTGAACCCTCTATACTACATGTCATGATGTATTAGGCTATTGCTATGTCTAACAATTCATTTCCTTGAAAACTAAGCATAGCTTTGTCTTAAAACACAGAAATACAGTAATTTTGTACACCAACACTTCCCTTTCAAGGTTCCAGAAATTCACAGGAGTTACAAAACGTTATAACAAAGCCCGTCTTGAGATTATGTAAGCAGTAACTCACTGGAGAATGTTGTGTACAGCTGCCCGAATGTCAGGCATGCTGATCTCATAGTAAAGCTTTTCTGATCAGCAACAAATGTGGAGTGTTCATTCCGTATGTCCATGTTCCTGCAAGTAACCTTGCCAGACTTATTTGTTTACATAACTTTGTGTTAGAGGAATAGCTTCTTTGTTCCAGCATCCATGCTATGTTTGCTATGAGTAAGTGCTTGCTCATAAATCTCCAGGAAAAATCATGTTAAAACTCAGGAAAAGAGAAAATATATGTCTATATACCAATTTTTTTGAAGGATTAACAGTAGTCTTATTTGTGACAGCCAAGATGTAGATTCAGCACAAGTATCTTACAACAATGAGAAAATATATAGGATATAGTATCATACAATGGAATTTTAGAAGGAATGGAAAGAAGCAATAAACTGATAGACTAAAATTAAAAATATTACATGTGCAAAAGACAACAAAAGTTATTATTCTGTATATATCAAATATCAGTATTGTTAAATCTAGAGAAAGATAGCAGAATCATGCTTTTTAGTAGCTTTGAGAAGTAAGACCTTGGAAGTGATTTTAAGAGGCTATGAAATTTCTTTTAATTTTATTTTAAAATAAATTTTGATAATATAAGTTAAAACTTCAATGTTTGACAATTAAATAAACTCATCAAAATTGAAGCAAAAATATGTTTGGTAAAATTGCAATAATTTCTATTGTGTATATTATTTTAAAATTCCTTTAGTGGAATTAAATAAGATTCAGTTGTTAATCTTTGAATGGTAAAATCAGTTAAATCTGTTCATAAATCATTATGTATAATTATCTTCTGTAACATAAATTTATGCATCATAATTTTATAAGTCAACATTATTTTTTACTGAGCAAAACAAATTTAGACTGATTTTTTTCCATAATTAACAATTTTATTTTGTAATAACACATTGTGTGTCTTATTACAATAGAGACCCTTTCAGTTTCCAAATAATTATAATTCACTGGTAATATTTAGGGAAAGAAAGACTCTTACTTTCAGATTTGTAATGATAATTCACAAATAAGAACAAAGAATTTAATTCACTTGAGTCACCTGTGAAACTGTTAGACTAAAAAAAGCATATAGATTCACTTATAACATGCGGAGTAGCTGGAGATTATAACCCTATTTAATAACATCTGAACTGATTTAGAACCTGGCTATTCTCATGAGGCTTTATTTAGTGGCCACTAAATACATTAAATATGCTTAAAAAAAGATATGAAAGGCTACTTAGCATATGGTCAACTTGATGTCACAAATCTGTTAATTTTAAAATTATGAATATAAGTAACACTAATAATTAGAATATAGCATAATTTTATGCTTCTCCTGTCATAAATTCAATATTCTGTTTTAATATCAAAATACAGCAATTAACTAGCTATAATTTAACACTTTAATTAAAACATGAGCTTCTAAAATTCTATAACTTGAAATTGAGAATTACTCCAGGCTTTCCTCAATCAGACCATATAAAATATATTATGGTATACTTGAAACAAGGCAAAATAACAACTATGAAAACCAATAGGCAGTGTTCATTTTAGTTTTTAAATGAGAATGAAAGATATTTACATGATTTTTCTTTTAATTTTTTTACTCTCAAATATAGAAAAGTTTAAAGATACATTTGAAAACCTTATTGGAATATGTCTCTGGTTTGAGTTTTCTGTCAGGGTAAATTTTCTTCCCAACCAAAAAGTCATAATCCAGTGAGAGTTTAAAAGTTTATTATAGTTATAATTCTATAATAGTATATCTTCAAACCTTCAGCTCTCTTTGCAGAAATAGCCATTCTTTCATAAGGCATCTTTCTTTAATTAGACAAAAATTTAGTCTTTCAAAATCAGATAAAGAAACAATATTTGCAACAAGTGATAGTTAATTTTCTTAGGCAAAGAAAGGAGCAGAATAAGTATTCATATCTCTTTCCCTCAACATTGTGTCTGTGTGTGTGGGTGTGTGTGTGGATGTGTGTGTATCCATGTAGACTAGAGGGCAGACACATGATTTCTTCTTCAGTATGCATCCTTCCCTTCCTCTGCCTAGCAAATATCTGGTAGAGTTGGCTCACAGGCCAGTGCATCCCAGAAATCCACCTGCCCTGAAATTTTGTCAGTATGGTGAGATCTTTATGCATGAGTTCTAAAGACTGAATTAATCTTAGAATGTTTGAAAGACAATCACCTTGTAATTGAGTTGTTTC